GCCCCCACCACCGGCTCCCCCGCCCAGCCCCAGCTTCCTGGCTCTTAAAAAAAAGAAGGAAAAAAGCCCCGCACTCACCAGCTGCTGCAGCAGCTGTTGGGGATTTTTTTTAAGAGCCAGATGCTGGGGCTGGGTGGGGCAGTCATTGACAGGGCTGAGAGGGCAGGCAGGGGATGGGGCCTGTTTGATTCGGCCAATTCGACGGCAGCCAAATCTCTGAATCAGATTTGGCCAAATCGATTCAGGACAGTGATTCAAATCACCAGATTGAATCACCATCCCCCGAGTGGGCTGAATCCGAATCCAAAGTGAATACTAGCCGCTTCACACAGGCCTACTTCCTGATTCCATGCCTGCATGCCTAAGTAATGGTCTTGCACTCCTTCCTAGCCATAGCTTCAATAGGACTTGCAATAGGGTGGGGAGGTGCAGATCGGGGCAGAGGCTGCAGGGGAGAAGATAGTGGAAGGGGGCAGGGGGTCTGAGACTATGGGGGCCAAAGGCAGCAGGGGGGCAGGCAAAAGGGGGCACAAGTGGTGGGGAAACAGGGGGTAAGGGGAAAGCTACTTGAACCCCCACTTCTTCCCCCACTGCTTGCCCCCCCACTGCCTTCTCCACTGTCTGCCCCTTCTGCTGCCCCCCCCAGTACCTGCCACCTTGTGCTCCCCCCATTATGTGCCCCCCTACTACTGTTTTCCCCACTGCAGTGGTGGGGGCACAAATTTAAAATGATCCTCCAAAAATTAGTTTCTGTACATGGAAAATTATAACAAATGTATACATTTTCCATGTATAGAATATAATTATTGGGAGGCCATCTTGGATCCACTTAAATACAGTAATTAACAGAGAGAGATTGAACAAGTTTTTGTGAACCAGCGTCTGAAGAAGTGAACTTGGCTTCACAAAAGCTTGTGCTCTCCCTATATATATATCTTATTAAGTTAGTTTAAAAAGGTGTGTATCTACCTGGCCTTTTGACTGACTTCAGACTTACACAGCTAACTACACCTCTCATATTGATGCTTCCAAGTTGTTCCAGGCCCTTACACTTGCTATGGCCAGGTTACTTAAATCTGTGCAAAGAGCTCCCAAAGCATAATCATCCATTCATTAAAGCTAATGCCAGCATTTTGTATGGGGCAAACAATGACACAAGGTACAAGGCAATGGATGATGATTTTCCTAGTTTCCTAGTTTGTAAGGTCGGAAGGGACCTGAGTAGATCATCAAGTCCAACCCTCTGCCATGGCAGGAAAGAGTACTGGGGTCAAACGACCCTGGCCAGATGTTCATCTAACCTCCTCTTAAAGACCCCCAGGGTAGGAGCCAGCATCACTTCTCTCGGAAGTTGTTTCCACATCCTAGCCGCCCTGACAGTGAAGTAGCACCTCCTGATGTCTAGTCTGAATCTACCCTCTGCCAGCTTGTGACCGTTATTTCTAGTCATTCCTGGGAGTGCTCAGGGGAACAGGGACTTGCCCAATGCCTGCTGGTCCCCTCTGACTAGTTTGTAACAGGCCACTAGATCCCCCCTCAGCCTTCTCTTGTGGAGGCTGAACAGGTTCAGGTCCCATAGCCTCTCCTCATAGGGTCTGCCCTGCTGCCCCCTGATCATGCGAGTAGCCCTCCTCTGGGTCCTCTCCATGTTGTCCACATCCCTCCGGAAGTGCGGCATCCAGAACTGGATGCAGTACTCCAACTGTGGCCTGACCAGTGTTGCATAGAGGAGGAGGATCACCTCCTTGGACCTGCTTGAGATGCATCTGTGGATGCATGACAAGGTGTGGTTGGCCTTCCTGACCGCGTCCCCACACTGTCAGCCCATGTTCATTTTGGTATCAATAATGACTCCAAGATCCTTTTCTGCCTCTGCACTGATGAGAAGGGAGTTCCCCAGCCTGTAGGTGTGCTGCTGGTTCTTCACTCTCAGGTGCATTACCTTGCACTTGTCAGTGTTGAAACCCATCCTGTTCTCATCCACCTACCCCTGGAACCTGTCTAGGTCCGATTGTAGCCTTTTCCTCCCTTCTAGTGTGCCCGCTTCCCCCCACATCTTAGTGTCATCTGAGAATTTGAACAGGGTGCTTTTTACCCCCTCTTCCAAGTTGCTGATGAAGATGTTGTACAGTGCAGGCCCAAGGACCGAGCCCTGGGGGACCCCACTGCCCACATCCCTCCAGGTCGAATATGACCTGTCCACAACCACTCTCTGGGTGTGGCCCTCCACCCAGGTAGTGACCCATCTGACTGTGTAGGTGTTAATGCCACAGTCCCCTAGTTTTTTAATGAGAATGGGGTGAGAAACAGTGTCGAAGCCCTTCCTAAAGTCCAGAAATACTACATCTGTGTCTAAGGATTTTGTGACCTGGTCATAGAAGGCCACCAGGTTGGTCTGACAGGACCTGCCTCTAATGAACCCATGTTGGTTGCCTCTAAGCATAACCTCCCCTGCTGGCCCCTCGCGGACATGTGCCAGGATAATTCTCTCAAAAAGCTTACCCAGGATCAAGGTAAGACTAACTGGCCTATAGTTTCCTGGGTCCTCCTTCCTCCCTTTTTTTGCTTTATAGTGGGCTTGCTTTGCTTTCACTTACTGTGTGTGTACATCCAGCTTCCAGTAGGTGGCAACAGACTTCACTGATGACTAAAAAATTCTGCCTGTGAGTCTGTCTGCACTTCCATTGGGAAACTGAGCGCAGCCTATGTAGGCATTTTCCAGGGAGCTTTAATGTAGTTTACCTGGTTATTTAGCATTGTCTAGCTACTAGTTTTAATCTAGTTGGATTGACTGTCAATAACAACCAGGCTTCAAAATAGGCTAGCAGCAGAAGTAAGCACTCGGTATTTTTGGTGGGCATATACCATCAGCACTGGAGCACACAGCTTTTGCTTTGTGGGTGATGGCATCCATGCCAGCTAGAGTTAAAGCTTTACATGCTTCTGTCAGACCTCCTGAGCGCAGCACAGAGAGCTACTGTGCCTTTGTGATGATGCCGCTAACATCAGCATAACCTGTGACTATGCCTGTTAGGTTTCTGGGTGCTGGGCTCTGGGTCTACCGTCCAGAGCTACCAAGTTGAGGTGGAAGTCCACAGACAATTCTCTGTAACAGCTTGCCAACAACTGTCACCTACCTCTTGTGGAATCTGGAATTTTTTCACCACTCCAAGCTCATAGTACATCTGAACTCCACACCGCACGAGGTCAAGCTCAGAGCACTCAAAATCAGAGAACCTGAACTCGTAGATTTCAGATTCACCAGGGTCTGGGAGTTGATCACGCTGGAAAAGGAATAGATGGGCTAGTTTTTGTGTTCCTTGTGCCATTCACAGACATAGTTGCAAGCAGCATAGCTCTCCCTCTCAGCATTCCCACTAGCATATTGCTGCTTTAGACCTGCCCCCTTAGCATAATGAGACTTGGGTTGATTGGTGTTACAGGTCACCATATACACAAGCTGTCATATATTTTGCTTGCTCTTTTGTTGTTTAAACAGTATCCTGGTAGATCTGACACACCAGCCTTCAAGGATCAAACTTGGCTCCAGGGTCTTACAAAGCCAGCTGGCTCTAGATCTCGCTCTGTATTTGCTTGGGGTAGCAAACTGTGTGGAGGATCCAAGTGGACCACAGCTGCTTCTCTGCAGAGGCACAAAACTTTAAATGTTTCCTGGTACTTGGGGGAATGCAAAGCAGCCCCTCTCCAGAAGTTCTGGAGGCACTGCCTCTGGAAGATGGGCCATACCATGCCACAACATACTATTCTAAGATATGATACTCCAGGTGTCTGTGTGGCAGGGGAAGGAGAGAGGGATGTTGTTTCTACTCTTAGGAGAT